TTTTTCCTGTGAACGCAACAAAGTCGCTACACACAACTTTATATACGTGCAGATTTCCTTTTTTTTTTTTTTTTTTTTTTTTTTACGCACAACAAAGACCGAGGTAAGCACATTTATAAACACAAACTACGGAAATATTTACCGCAGTGTTCCTTTTATTTCTGTACTGTTTGTCTTTTGAGATAAATTTTCTGCTCTTATAGCCACTGACAATTTTATAACAAAAAGTTGATAATTAATAAGAAAAAGAAATGACAGCTGACCAGACAACCCCTTCCGCGGTATATTACTTTTTTCGTTCGTTTCGGCGCTCACTCCCCGATGAGAGTGACTTTGAAGACTTCATTAGCACCTTGACCATCACCCCCTTGCATGCGGTCGTTGAAAATGTTTTGCCATTCTTCCGTCGTTCTACCGACCCTGGTTTATTTACAAAGTTTCAGGTGATGATGCGTCAATGTGAACAAAATTCTGCTTTCGAGAGTACTCTGATGAGGGTTTGTGATGCTTTGGATATGCTTCAAAGAGTTGAACAAGCATTGAGAGGCGATAAGCGTTTGATGGATGGCTATTTACGCGCTATGCAATTTGATAATGATTCGGCCAGCCACCAACAGGTGTGGTCGGGTCTGCAGCGTTTCTTGAACGAGGACTGCGATCCACAAACGAAGCGTAGAGTGGAAAAGGTCTTCGCCGAACAAAAAGCCAACGATGAACTTGGTATATACATTTTTTTTACGTCACACGGAAGCATACGATGAAATTTATTATGTTTTATTAATTTATGACATAAGCTTACAATTATTTTTTTTGTTATCATTGAAGGTCTCAACGATGATGTCCTTGACGTGGCTTATTCTCTGATTGGTGATGATGCTCTATACATTGAAATCCTCGAGACTCTTCAATTGAACAACCGACAAAATCTCCCGTGGGACATTGTAATCAGCAGGATTCAACGTCTTGCTATAGAGAAAAAACCTCAAGTTTGGCCTATGCTGAGCAGATTCCTGGACGATGTACACAATGGTCGTGGTAAGCAAATAGCCTTATTTTGTTTGTGTTTCATGAGACGAGATTTTTATGCATTGCGCATATTACTTAACAATAAAAAATAAAACGTGTCATATTTCGTAAACATGCCGCACATCAAAATGACAAAACTATTAGAATTTATATGATCGAATTTTTAACTGACTCCTTTCATATCCGTTGCATCCCTAACTAGATGTTTTCTCGTATTCTGTCTATTGGGACGAATATCTTGATGACGAAATTGACGAGCCTGAGAATGGAGTTAATACTCTCGAGCAAAAATTTTCCAACATTAACCTTGACACTGGCAATGAAGACATACAATCTCAACCACAACAAAGACAACAGAAACAAGCAAGAGAAGTGATCGGTACCGTTTAACATTCATCCACTTTACATCCCTAATTCTCCACAGGTATTATTGCGCTCTCATATCAATATTGATTTCCTTTCAAGGTTATATAATCTCATCTCATAATTTTTTAATTTATAGTTTTGTTTGTTTATTCACCGGCTTCGATAACGCTTATGCTTGAAACCCCGCATAAAAAAAAAAAAAAATTATATATATATATAATACACATACCACAAAAAAAAACAAAAAAAATAGAAACAAAGTTGTAAATTCCAAAAAAAAATAAACCACCACGTTTCCTTTTGTTTTAAAGTATCCTAAATCCTTTCCTCTTTTCTACACACTTTGTAATAGTATACCTGTATCATATAAATCTGTAAAATATAAAAAAAAATTTATAAAATATTATAAATTATGTGGGGTATATAGAAAGCACAGTAAAAAAAAACATTTCTTTTTACGCACATTTTTGCAATTCAATTTATTTAGTTTGAGCGTGGTATGAAAACTGTAAATAAAAAAAATATTAATTTTTTTTCTTTGCATGCACTTTTCCACATGAATTAGTCGTATGATTTTTAACCATGTTAGTATGCAAGAATTGTACGAAAGGTTTATATTGATTGTTATAATCGATTTTTGAAACTTTTTTTTTCTTTAATTATGAAATCAAAATACTCGAAAATGGTTTACCGGTTTTAGGATGGATTCGGAACAATATTAACTTCTAATTTACTTAGATTGAGGTCCGCTCATATATATTAGATTATTTTATTTTTATTATTAAACCGTAACTGATATTAGATGCACTTTATTATCAATCATCTCATACATACGTATATTTCTATATGCAGATAAATTAAAGATAACCTATCGCAGTTTTTCCTAGGCAAACTCAGTGAGTGGATAGGGGCTGTATGGTTAATACACTTAACTGAATAAAAATATTTTATATTTATATAATTTGTTTTAAACCCTTTATCAAGTTAGTTATACTACAGTATATATGCTTTTCTAAACAATCGTACCATACATAAATTCATGTCTTGCCAAAGCCAATTCTTTGATTAACTCACTTGTTTTAGTTTATAAAATTCTAAGTGTAATTATGGAAGTGATTTATTGTTCTATTAATAAATTGGATAAAAACTTTCTGCTTATTTTATACATAATTTTTTTGTCAAAATCATAATAAAATTTTTTTTTTTTACTTTTTTTTTTCTTTAATTTTTTTTTTTATTTATTTTATTTCTTTATACAGTATATGGAAGCCTTTCAAATCTTTTGATTTTTTTTTTCTATAACTTTCTTTTGGTTTTGATTTTATATTCACCTATATAGAATAAAATGGCTAATAGTGAACCTCAAGTTCTTATGTGGCTTTTCAGTCTTGTTGTATAACTCCCGATATCTTTCAGCAATCACATCTAGTTAAAGAAATTTTACTGGTATATATCTTCTATTGCTTAAAAAGTCAAATTCCCAAACAATCTTTTTGCCTTGCAATAGTGGAAGGTAATTGAAAGTATAGGGATCCTTGTCAATTACGATATTATTATACAATGTCTGGAGAAATACATTTTCAATTTTAAAGAAGGGCAGTATTTTATAATTCTCTGCTTTTCAGTCTTACCGTCTAATCAGAATAAGGAAATAACCTTTTTTATGTACTTTGCCTAACTAGGATAATAAGAAGTTGAAGATCTTGACTTGAATAAATAATCATCTTTTTACTACTTAGGGAATTTAGTGCCCATCCTAATGACCTCATGATTTCTTTGCTTCAGTTAAACTTTATTTGGAGAAGTGGAGAAGTTTGTATCTGTGATTTCTCTTTTTATTATTAAGGATATTATTAGAATACATGAGGTGATTAATAGGAGCTTGTTTATATTCAGCTACTAATATGTTTCGTGTCAATCAATCAGATACAGGTGATATTATACTATCAAAAATTCAGGGTCAAACTGAGGTAGGCAAAATCTTTCAAGAAAACTATAAAAACTAGTAAGCACTTTAAGAAGGTATTAGACAGTATGTGAGAAGGTGGAAAGTAAGTCTTCCCCTATCAACAAAACCTCTATTTT